GGCGGATGCGAGGACGGCGGCGCTGACGGGCCTGGGCCCTGGGGAGCGTGCTGCGTGCCCCCCGCTTTCCCTCCTGGCGTTGCCCCGTGTTTGGGGGTGCCGGTGAGAGCTGCGGGTTTGTGCACAGCCCGCTCTGCGCTGCCTGCCTTCGTCCGGTTTGCAGCGCGTTGAGACAGGCGAGGATACTTACGTTCAATTTCATTTTTTCATCACGTTCAATTTCTCAGTCCCTTAGAGACACAAACCTCTGAAATTCATGAACCAGCATGCTTGGCAGAAGACCTAAAAAAAGCCCTCAGGCAAAGGGCCAGGGAGCTGCAGTTGCAAAGCAGGTAAGGAAGGCAAAGGGCCAGGGAGATGTGGTTGCAAAGCAGGTAGGGAAACCTCCTACTCTTGCTGCTCCTCAGGGTAGTCTCGTTCAGATCTCTTGCTGCTGTTTTCCTGCTGGAATCTCCCGTGCGTTAATAAGATATTGCAGGACCATGAAAAAAATTAAATCGTGTGGTGTCTGTTTTCCTGCTTTCTCCCTTAGCATGTTCTTAAAGTAAACATCTGATATGCAGCAGTGGAGGTCTTGCAGGGAAGCAACAATGTTGTAATGCTGTAATCTTTGCATGAGACCTCATGACTCATGCTTATAGTAGTTTTCTACCCCCAGCTATATTGAGACTTAGTAAATTCAGTAACTATATGGAGGTTGTTCTTACATCTCTAAGAAAACAGAAATAAGAACACCAGAATATCAAACAACAAATTCAGGGGCACATATGGGAGAACATTAAGGTGCTACACCAGAGACAGTTAATTTTCATTTCCCTGCATATAGTCGTTTTTTCTTGCAACAGATAGACTGATAAGCCTATGTCCCTGTCCTGCAGCTAAAAGTGAGCTTAGATGTGTTGGGTTTTTTTCATACTCTTTACCTTTGGATGTAGCTTCAGAAGCCTTGAGGAGAGAAATGTGATTTAGTTATGGTTGGCAGGTGTAGGAAGTCAGGCAGCAGTGTCAAAATCAGAAATACAGCCAAAGCAAAATTCTGGGTAGAATAGTGGAAGAAAAACAGAGTACAATTAGACGTGAAGAATATGTTAGAACCAGAATGGAACTTTAGAAACCTTTGAAGGTAGAATAGAGGCAAATAACACACAGAAGAGGAATAACTGATAAGAATAGAGGGAAATATGGAAAGAGATTGGAATAGGATATTAGAATAGAGAAAATAGCCAAGATATTCTCTTTTGGTGATTTCTTAGGAACGAGTATTCTCATACTGGAGGCAGAATGGTTAAGTTAGGGATCCATAATGTCACCCTTGCTCTAATATGAAAGTTTGCATTTCTCAGTTGGAGTAGTAGTATATAATTTAGTTCATTTGAACAAGGGAGAAGATAAAAGGTAAAAATATCTTTCCCCTTCCAAAAAAAAGAAACTACACTCTAAAAAGATAAAGAGTAAATAAAGGATCTGATTAACATATTTTGCTAATTTCTAATTCAATACAGCTAGTTATTCAGCCTGTCTTACAGCATGGAGGACTGTTTCTTGAAACAGATACACTAATAGCTTGTTCACTTGCAAATTAACTCAATTTAAACTGTTCTTGTGCTATGTAGTGTATCAACTGTAAGGTTTTTATAACTTTTTTCTGTTTTATTAAACATTTGTTTAATACTCTTGATTTCATTGGAAATGTGCCTTACTGAGCCAGTTGAGAGACTTAGAGCTAGAACTGCTGCATTCTGTTCTTGACTTCATTCATTACTACACTTGCTTCACTTTCTACACTTGCACAAGTGTAGTAATGAACAGATCACATGTGCTCCTGATCCATTTTGCCTATTGATGAAAGGTGTATGTATGTTCCATAGAACTTGAATCTTTAGATCACCGTTATAAATATTTTCTAATTAAATCCTGTCCTCACCTTCTTTCCATTTTATCCAAGACTGCGAATATATTAGTTTTGTTTTACAGAAGGGAGATGGATAAGGCAGAGGGTGGCTAACTGATCTGCCCAGTGCCTTACAGAATGTCAAAGGCAGGATCGGGGCTAGTAAACAAATAGCTGCTGATTTTGAATACTGTTTCTGGTCCTTGGAATCTGTGTCTCTCAGCTATGTTTCACATTCTCCTTTGGGATTATAAAAGGATTCAAAGACGGACACAAAATATTTCAAGGCAGTAGCCACCAGCACCTTGATTCCTACAGGGTTAAAAAAAAAAAGTTGTTATTACTTATTCACAGTACTTTATAAACTGACAGGCAGCTTCAGCTCCTGGCAGCACTTCAGATCCTCAGAGGCAGGAGGAGATTGTTAACCCTTGTAATAATGACAACTGATTTTTATTCCTTTACTGGAGAGAAGCTGGCCTGCTTGGCCATGTGAAGACCGATAAGCCAACAGTGGCTTGTTCTTTGAAAAAGTCTGAGGAAAGCTTCTCCACCTGCCTCGTAGGATGAATCTAATTCAGTTAATTCATGCTTATAAAAAAAGCTTAGCATACTTTGAATAAAAATGTTGTTATTCTGGGGCAGTTAGTATCTTAACCAGCAATATAAAAATCATTATTTTTATGGCATCTTAGAAGAATACCTTTTAGACTAAGATCTCGGAGATTTCTCTGATACTTATGTCCTTTGGTATGTTTTACAACAGTTGAGTGATAACCCCTGCTACTTTGTCAAATTCTGATGACTGTTATTAATAATATTAGGTGAGAGCTGTTGCTTAGCTGATGATCTGTTCCAGACAGCTGATTGTTTTCTCCAGTGTAGTGTAGGCATTGCTGGGTTTGTAATGGCTGTTTCTCTGTGTGTGTGCTTTCCATGTGTTTATGATTTACAAACTGAGGCAATGAGAAGTACCGAACAATTCTGTATATGTAAATATAGCTTCTTCGAGAGATAAGGGTGAAATCTCTGCAGCGTACGCATGTCAGACCTGTGTTGTGTGAATGATGATTGAATATTTTTTAGCTTCGCTGTTACAGGAACTGCTCTGAACTTCCCTGATGATATCTGCTTCATGAGGCTCGGTATAACAGACATCATTTTATTTTACCTTGTTATATCAGATTATTAGATAGGCTTGATTTTATGACATCATTGATTGTGAGAGTTTTAGAGGGAGTATTTGTGGCTTATTAAGATTTATGTACCTTATGTCAGTTATGGGTGCCTGGTATGCATTGTTTTGGTAAAAGAAGTGATATGGTAATGGGCTTTAAAAAAAATGAACAGAATCTAGAATGCATGAAAATGTTTAAATAATCCATGCAGTGTGAGTTTTTTGAGTGTCATCTTTGTTCTAACTGCAGGGTTTGTTTTGTTGGTTTGGGTTTTTTTTAAATTTTATTTTTTATTTATTTATTTATTTTATTTTCCCTTGGCTCCAGCTGGGGCTGTTTGTAGATTTCAATCCTGAAGAGATGCTGCTGGGTGCAGAGGAAGGTGGGGATGATGGGGACCTAGAAGCAGAGCTTGCTGCTATCACAGGAGCAAAGGTGAAAGAAGGGAAATCAAAACCAAAAGGAAAAAGTAAGTTGAAAGTATCTGGATTTTATTTATTGACAACCTGTATAATTTATTAAAGATATCTATTTGCAAATCACTGATTTATCTAAAATGTTTTTTCATCATTGATAGAAGCTGAAATTGCAACTCTTTCTTTACTTTGAAAGGTTTAAGTTGTTACCCTACAAAAAGGGTAGGAGTTTTTTTTGTCTATGCTCTTATAGACATAGGAGAAAGATATATGATGGCTAGGCAATCTAATGACTAAATTAAGACATGCTTGTTTAGCATATGAAGTCATAAAAAGGTGTAGTAGGTGCTAGATGAATTCCAAATGGAAATTATGTTTCTTGTGGAGGGTGGTTTGTTTGTTTGGTGGTTCTGTTTTTGTTTAAAGACTGAATTTACTGAATGAGCATTATATTTTTAGTTAGTTGGAGTCTGTAACCAAAATTGAATACCCTTTTAAGCAGGAAATCCTGGAACTGATGGAATTAGTGGGAGAATCCTGTAGCTTGTGTTATGCAGGAGGTTAGAGTGTCTCTTGGAACGGATCATTACTATTCTTAATATTTTAAGCATCTGTTAATTTTGTCTGATAGAGTCTGCATGCAGCTATGCAGTGTTTTACAGGATTGCCATAATCTGCTATAAATCAAGGCTGCTGCTGAGAGGGCAGTCTCTAGTGAGCATGCTCTACCTCTAAGCTGGTATACGTATTTATGGAGCTGCAGGGCGAGCTGGTTCAGGAAACTGATCCATAAAAATAAACTTCTGTTGTTGTGCTAGGTTTTCAGCTGAATCAGTTCCTTGATCTGGTTTGCTACCTGCCTATTTGAATGCTGCTGTGGCTGCAAGGGAGGGGTGGCAGCAAGTGGTTGATATGGGACAGGAGAATGGGACCTACCCTTGCTATGGGTGTGTGAGCAGATGCTGGAAAGAAGAGTTAGTGCAACTACAGCCTTATTTGCAGCTCTGCAGTAATTTGCCTGTAATATTTGAAGGGACTTCACACAGAGCAGCAGGGAAATGAAGAATTTAAAAATAGTTAGAAAAAGTGACTGTCTAAACACTAATTGATGAGAGACAGAGGAGGCGTTTGTATTTAAATTCTAAATCATTTCCACTCTCCAGGTTTCAAGATTGTAGTAAACCCTTAAAGCTAATAAGCACAATTGTGCTAATAAGCACAGTAGCAGATCTGCCGTTGGACATAGGTTACTCATGGTTAAAACACATGTTACAGTGTTTTGAGGATGAATCTGCGTGTCAGGAGCTCTTGAATTTTTGTCAGCTTTTCAAGTGCTGACTTCCTTCTGGCCCTAATCATGTCACTTAATGTGTTTTTTCAGTCTCTTTGTTCATAAGAGGGAAATGAAATTTCAGACAGTGCAAAGTTGACATTTACTATGCCTTCTAAAGGTATGTGTTATGGCTCATAAAACTGTTTTCTAAAATCATTTACAGCTATTCTGTTTTCCTGGTAGAATCAGGAGTATATAGATTAGAAGCTTGTGGAAGATGAACAGCTAGACAGCTGGCACTGCGGACTCATGAGACCTGGTATAGTGATGGGGATGTGGGGCATGGTGGGAGCAGGATGCAGGCCAGTGCCTAGAAAGGAGGAGGGTACAGTAAGGACAGGGGAAAAACAGATCCTGTCTGGAGAAGGATGGAAAAAAGGGACCTAGGACCGTACATACTGGTGCTTGGTTCTTGGCTGAGCACAAGGTGCAATAATCCACTCCTGGATGAGCTCTGATGGCGGGGGGTGGGGGTGATCTCTCCCTCTTGCTTGAAGATGCAGGCAGGAAAAGCTGTACTGTTGCAACATCTTAAGTACAGAGATCTCTGCTATCTGTGATTGATAAATGCCAGTTGGTCAGCCACTGGGATGTTTGAAATTGTAGCCTCAACTTGCCATACTGGATTACAGCTGAACCAACCATCCGAGAAGGCTTGGTTGGTTGTTTTGCCTGTAGTGGGGCTTCACGTAAGGGACGCTCTGACCCTTGAAGTACAGCCAGTTGCCTTTGGATATGGCCTACTATCCTAGTTGCAGAGTTTTGCTAAGGGTCAAATATACGAGCAACATGTTTGTTATAGGTGCTGAAGCACTGTTATGGTAAATGAGATTATTTGAACAGAAACAGCTTTGTACCTGGGTTAATTTTCAGCTGATTCAGTAAATGCAGGGGAAGGATGGGATCTGTTTTGGATCCATTTAAATTGACTGTAAAACTCTGTCCTGAAGATCTATATTTTATTTGACATTTACTGACACTGGTGAGTCACAGTCTTATGTCTCAGAGGCATTGACACGGTCAGTTGGAATTTGTGTGCACATAACTTCACCTTTTGAGAGTGCATGGAGGAAGTTGATAGTTAAGGAAGTTAAGGAAGATGTGGTTGGCACAGCATGAAGTAGGGATGAGAACTCTGCAAGGAGGAATTAAGTAGAGTCTGGAGGGTAAAGACCAGAAGATTGACGAGAAATTGCAAGACAAAGTAGCCAAGAAAGATTTAGAAAAGGGATAATCTCATGGCTACGAGACAGCAATGCAGAAAATGCAAAGTGCAGTTAGGCAGAAGAAACAGCACTTTTTCTGATTTGCTTAGCAGTTCTCTGTGCCAGTGTTCTGCTCCTGCTCTTGGGCTCAGGACAAGTATGATGCCTTGATTTGGAACATTCTATTTTTGTATGCCAAGTGTGACTTGTTTGATGTGTAAAACAAGTAGTTTCTCAAGGTAGAAAGATTTTCTTGTCTTCCTTTCTAGCTGTCTTCAAACACAGGGATCCTTGCTTGTCATGTTAACAGCCAGTAGTTTGGCTTATGGCGTGTGTGTTCAGTGTGTCTCTAGAATTGATGTTAATGTGCGTCATCATTTTCAAAGGATGACTATGTACCCACTTTTTAACATGAGATGGAGAGAGGGAGACATTCTTGTACTTAGGACTGTAGATTGAGAAAATGGATCAGCTGTTGGAGTCTCAAGTGTAATGTAGACCCTATACAAAACTCCAGTGATTTAGTTAGTTGTAGTTTGATTGGGAACTCTTTGAGCTCAGCACTATTTATGGTAAATGCCTTGAACTTTGTTCTGATTTATGGCTGTATGCACTGTTGTAATACAGACAATAACGCATTTTTGGCTGTGAAAGAAGATGCAAACAGAAGTTTTACTGGCAGGTATGCTGGGACGTTCAATGCAAGTGTCTGCATCTCATGCATTTAACTGTTGGCCTAACTTGGTCATATCAATACATGCAGTTTTTTGGGAATTTGAGTGCTTTTAACTCAAATTAGTTCAATGTGAGGGAGAGAAGAAAAGGCATAGAACTGGGAGAAGTAGTTTGTTGGCACTTAGGGATGGATGGATGTGGACCACTTCTGTTGCATATAGGGTCAGAATTTATTCTGTCAGAATTCACCAGGAGTGAATTATTTTGTTAGGGTAGACTGACATGAGGCAAAGGACACAGAACAGAAAGGCCTGACAAAGATGCTGAGTCCAGGCCTTGTTAATATGGACAATCATGTCATAAATACCTTCCGTAAATATCTAGCATCATCTTAAAACTAGTTCAGATGTTTATTCCTACTGGGGAGAGAGGCTGCTCTAGTAATTCCCTTTCATGGATAGAAACTTCTAATGGATTTATTCATCAACAGTTTATGTTTATTTGCTCTTGTGCCACCATTGATTTTTATCTTAACTGAGGAATACAATTGTGATGTAGCATCCAAGAATAGTAGTATTCTCCAGTTTTTCTTTGGAAAATTGAAGTCTTCCATAATGACAAAGTTTCTGTTTCTAATTATGTCTGTAAATAATATTGTAGAGGTGCTTACCTGTATCTTAAATCAACCTAGGAGCTTGAGGTGACTTCTAGTATTTTTTCCCTGAAGCAGTTGATTCATCCAGTCCTACTTGTCTGTCTTACTCAGTCTTAAATGTCATTAGTGTGCAAAGCTACCACACTATCTTTCTTTTTTGTGGCTGTGCTTTCTGAGCACACTGCTGTGTCCCACCATACCTGCTAGTCTGTCACGGTGCTTATGGTTTTGCTGTTCAAGCTCCTTGTATTAGTAAACAGACATTATTTCTCCCTGACATCTGACTTCTGAGCTAGGTTATTGGATACAGGCATTTTCCTTGTCTTACTGCATGCCTTCACTGTCACTCAGAAAGACCAGTGTTGCCTTTTTTCTGGATGTTCACTTCCCCAGTCTTTGTCCTTTACCCATGAACATACCCTCATTTACTTATGACGCTGTCTGATAAAGGGGTAGCAAGAGGAGAAGTCACTGCTCTCTTTCAGTTGGTAGCAGCTCCTTTCAAATTTTTATCCAGTGACTGCATAACTGTTACTTAGGGTTTATGGCTCCTTGTGGTTTCTTTTTACAGCTCCTCTGCCCATGGAGCATATTGAAAAGATGGCTGCAGAGTGTATGAAGGACCTGAATGAAGATGAGGAGGAAGAAGCAGATGATGAAGACTTGGAGAAAGATACAGACCTGTTGGTATGCATAACTTTGTTAGCAAAAAGTTTTAGTATGTCTTAGGTGGGTTTTTTTTTTCTTGGTTGGTTGTTTTTTTTTAAACAGAACTGCATTTAGCAAAAATGTCTGTTAACTTTCTGGTGAAAAGCTAAAATATTGCAAAAGCATTCTATTAGATACAGGGTTTTGCAGTATCCAACCGCTGCACACCAGAGTGTTTCCTAGCTAACATTCCTATGTGTGAGAGTCTTAGAGAAGTGGGGGGGGAACAGTGGGAATTCCATTCCATGTCAGCTGGTGAAATACAACCAGAGAGATTCTCCTTAAAGTAATGTCTGTCACCATTTTGCTACTGCTTCAAATAGTGCTTGGCCTGAGAGAATATCTCCCAAGAAATTCTTTGTCATTTCAGTGAGTGATCTAGTTGGCAGGGTTTAGGGAAGGAGTGTTAAGCAGTGGTTTTGACTGCCATTGTTAATAGATGCTTTTTGGAAATTTCAAATTTGGGTTTGAATGATCTTTATGAAAGTGCTTCTCTGAACTTCTCCAGCTTTAGATCTCTAACCACAAACTTGTGTGGTAATCCTGGAGCTGCAGTGAGGCTTTTGAGTGGTATCTGGCTTCCTGTTGTGAATACAGGTGGAACTGGATTGATTTAAAAATAAAAAATAAAATTTAAAAAAAATGACCAGAATATAAGATGTTTAGACTCTCTGTTTGGGTTCAAGGTCCATCCAAAGCTTTTGGAGCTTGAGACTTGATTTTATTTTGTCTTTTGAGGAAATAGAAGATTTTGAGGAAAAGCCTTTTGTTGGATTTCATTTCTCCTTTAGGCAGAATTGCAAGAAGTTCTGGGGGTGGAAGGTGAGACAGGAAGCTGTGAGGATGAAATGACAGCAATGGAGCCATCCACAGCTGAACCAGAAAATGAGCAACCTGACCTGCAACCACAGGTAGGAAAGAGCTTCATGTTCCTGACTGTTTTGCTGAATCACTGTTGTCATGCAGCTTATACAAGAGTCACAAACAAGGATCTAGAGAGGTCTTCTTGTCCTCCAAGGAAGGAAGAACTACACTATTGCCGTCTTCTCTGTGGAAACTAATGCTGTGTGGACATACGTGAATTTTTTGCTTTGTTCAGAGGATGAGTTTGAATGTTAGCATAGAATTGAGGAGGTAAACAGTTGGAATCAAGCATGTCTTGTCCCTCATTATACATATGAGCATGCAGTCTGCAGTTCAGGCTTCCAGAGTTCGTATCTTCCCCCTCAGAGTATTGAGTGGTGTGCTGAAATTGAGACTTGTTATAACTCAGCATCCTTGACATCTGTGTGGAATTTTTCTCAGTAGCATTAGCTTTCTCAGCTTAATTTGTCAATCCTCATGCAGTCAAATCCGTTATTCAGTTACTGCCATGTTTCTGTTGTGTGCTACAGATTCCAGTGCCCTTGTGCATTGGGCCCATTAATAAATGGGTCTGAGAGCGTTTCTATAGAGATAATGGCAATAATTACATCAGTAGCCATCTGAAAGGTCTCTGTAGCTGTGGAGTGTTTCTAAGTAACTACTCATAACTTTGCTTAGGCTGCTTTTGGCACTGAACTAATTCCAGGCTGTAGGAGGAGGAAAAAGAGCTGTTGTAGTAAAACCAGGCTGAAGAACCCCAGAAGGGAGTAAAGTAGCATGTTTTAAAAATAAGAAAAAGTCAAGATTTGTGCCAAAATACCTCTTCACTCCCTCTGTTGTTCAGTGTTTGAGAGACTTTACTGTTTTCTTCACCTACTCCCTAACCACATGGCTCCAATTACCCTGTGACTGTGAGTTTTCTAAATGTCTCCACCCTTTCTTCTCTATTACGCCTTTGAGAGAAAGCCCAGAGGTGGATCCAGGGAGCGTTAGCATAGTACAAGTGCTCCTCTGTTTTAGAGACTGTTTCGTCCTTGCGCTCTTGATTAACGGGAGTGTGTGTAGAAGAGGAGTATTTGTTTTTCAGTGCTGTGGGAAAACTTGTGTAGTTGGATGAAATAAGTTTTCTTGATTTGTTTTATTGTTTTTTCTGAGACCACCTCACTTCCTGCTGTTACCAGTGAGCTGCAACAGATGGTAGAGAAGAGAATTGCTAACTATAGGACAGCAATTTCTAATGCAAAGGAGTTGGGTGAGAGTGCCAAAATACGCCGATACGAAAGAGGCCTTAAGGTAGGTTGGGTTCATCAGGTATGTGAATGAGGGGGAGGCAAACTCAGTTCTCTAAAGTGTAGTTCGGAGTCTTTCCAGATGCATGAATTTGTTGAAAGGGGAGAGAAATTCTAATATGCTGCCTTGAGTTACTTTAAAAACATTTCTTGTTACTTACTACCAATCTGATGTAGCAAATACACAGATAAAGTGTAGCTTCAAATGCCTTTTGTGCATCAGCTTTGTTTCTGTTGAATGTGGCTAGTGATAGCTGGAGGCAGGGTTTGTGGTAAACGCTGATGTTAAATCCACCCATCTAGATCTGAATTTGACCTGTCATGACTGTTCAGTGTTACCTTAAAGCAAAGGTTAGGAGCTTTCCTAGCACATATACCTTCCAGTTCATCACTGATGCCTTCCCTTAGATACTAACCTTCCACTCAGTTCTGTGAGACACAGGAAGGTGATATCTTGCCCTGAGTGTGTTGGCTGTGCTTGAAGATGAATAGAACAGGATTTTTCATTAATGCAATTAAAAATTGCATCAAGGAGTGATTTCTTCAGCTTTGCATCTTTTCAGCCAGGTGGCGTGCTTGTAGTTAGTTGATAGTGCTTGGTGATTTACCGCTGTGCAGAGTGCCTTTATTTCCCTGTTTGCTTTCATCTGGTCTCCTGCATCATCTCAGACACCAGCCAGCTCTGTCTTCTTGAGCAAAGCTTTATAGCTCAGCACTGTTCGCTGAGGGAAGAATGTAATGTCTCACTAGCTACCAGGTGGCTTAGGGACAAAGGGAACAACTGAGGCCAAACCCAGGGGAGGAAATGCACATAAAGGAGATGTCTGTATGTGTCCACTGCCTGCTAGCTCTGAAAGGAATGTACCTGAAACCACCTGACCTTTCAGACAGCAAAAGCGACAGGCAAAACAGCTTATTTCATCCAATAACAAAGCTTAGTGCGCTGTTTGCCACTTCCTTTATTTTTCAAGGTAGGGAGTTTCCCAGTGTAGCTAAGGATAATAGACTAGATCTCATTTCACAGCTCACAGTTCCTTAATTACCAAAATGACATGCCAACAAATGGTGTACAGTTATCTCTTGTATGTAGTTCTTGGAACTGTGAACTTTAATCTCAGCTTTTAATTCCATTTCTAGTCAGTCTGCCATCCCACATGTGGAGAAGAGACAGCTGTGTGTGGGTTGCTGTACTGGTTTGAACCCCAATCTCACATACAGTCAGACCAAAGTATCTCTACCACTGTTGCTTAATAGGTCAAATAATGTCATGGCTAACCAAAAATAGCAGTGATTCTGGCACTGATGAGATTTTATTATTGTTGTCTTTCTGTACTTCCATTTCAGTTTCTGTGGAAGATGAAAGAAGTAAACTTTTGTTTTGGCTTAAAGTGCATGGTGGTCTCTTGTCTGAACCTTAAATAAAAAAAATACTGAGGGGGGTAATATTTGTGGTGGAGGAAGGGTTTTAAAAAGATGAGTAGCAGTTAACCCATGTTACAGATGGTGAGAGCTTCTTGCCATAGGTCACCAGCTGAAGCTCCATTTCCTTTGTTAGTATTTAATGGCTTTTCTCGTTGCATTAAATAGGTATGCAGACTCCTTCTTTCCCTGAATCCACATAGGCAGTGACATTTCAGAGTAGTGTATTTTATTTTTTTGCAAAGACATAAAATGCATCTACAGTTGGTATAAAAGGGTTCCTTGGTGACTTTCTGTGACAAAGCTGAGTGGACCACATCAGCTATCCAATAATTCTAGGTGTTGAGGTACTTGCAGTTCTGTAGTTTGGGTAACAAGTCCTTTGCATTGTGTTGCTCTAATAATTGGACACCTTTCACTAGCGCTGAGGTTGGCCTTGCAGAAAAAGAGAGAGCTAAAGTGCAGCAGTCTGTAGTGGTGTGCATAAGAGATCCCATCACAAAGAAGGGAATGAATTTGTGTTTTAATGATTTTATGCTAGTAATATGTTTGATGAAAATGCCTATTGACTTTGCTGTTCCATCTCTGCCAGACACTGGAAACCATGCTGGCTGCAGTGAAGAAAGGCAAAAAAATCAATGAGGAAGAAATGCCACCTCCTGTTGCAACAGGAAGGAGTTCTCACTTATCTCAAGCCACGGGAGTGGAGTCAGAGAATTCAGGAGATTCAGTCAGTGTCCTACCAGAGAATAAAGCTGAGTCTGCTGCAGATAGTGAGCAGAAGACCTCTCATGAGGCAGTGCAGCATCTGGAATCAGAGTCTCTGCAGGGTCATGCTGCTTCTAGTCCTATTGTGGAAACAGGTACCTTGATGTGAGAGGATAAGCAGTTGCAACACTGTTTTAATGCTACATTTTTCTTGATATTTGTATTGTGTAGCAAAGCATTGCTTATGTTGGAAGTTCCCTGCTGAATGTTTCAGATAGTTGTCAGTGGGATGCTGAATTTCTGGCAGTGGAATCAGTTATTTTTATAGAGCTCTTCTATGCGCTGTATCAGTATCTTTCACTTAACTTTTCCTGTTTTCCTCAGTTTCTGCATCAATATTGTGACACGTGGAATTCCAAGCTTTAAAGAGTTTTGAGATACTGACTAAAAGACTTTTTTTTTTAAATTGGGAAAAGTGGGATTGTTATGTCTGGTAGAACTTCTGGAGACTGGGGGAAAAAGGACTTTTGTACAAAGGCTGTTTGTGTGATTCAGAGCAAAAGAGAACTAATGCAGGTTTGATTAGATGGACATAGCAAGGGATGCATATTTTGCATGCTCTGTGTAAGTCTCAGCATTGTTTCATTCTCACAGATCTCCAGAACAGCAGCACACGAGCAATACTACTTATGAGGCAGAAGGAGTATAAATTAGCAGCTCTAAAAGCCAAGCAGCAAGGGGACCTGGAGAAAGCGAAGGAATACATGAAGGCAGGCAAGGTATGCATACAAGAAATCCTGAATGCTAAACATACCCTATACTGTACCCACATGCACTGAGTGTCAAGTATTGATTGTGGCAGCTAGCAAGTCTTGGACATACTAGTATAAATCTCCTGTTTTGTTTTTTCTGCATTAGAAATTTAATGTGATCTTGGAAGCTTTGGATAGTGGGCAGCCAGTAGACCTCCAGAATATGCCTCCATCTCCTCCGGGTAAGGCTCATCTTACAAAAACCCTTTTAGAAGTCTCTCTATCCTGTAATGGAATGATTCTGAATTTGATTGCAAAACTGTAAGAAGAATTGAAGATCACTTCGGTCTGAGGCTTACTGCATATTCAAATTCTAATCAAGACCAACGAACAAAAATGAGGTATCATTATTTAAACTGAAGTTACTCTCTGTGAATTAAAAGTTCAAGTAGGTATTGATGTCTAATATTCCTATTTTTATAACTTTAGATAATAACAGCCAGTATGTGAAGTGGAAGGTAAAGAAGGGTAATGGCATGTTCTTAAAGTTTACTGTAGTATTTGATGGTGTTATATGTTTCAACTGAAGTTCAGAATGTTGAGATTTAACAGATTGCAGTGCAGTAAAGTCTAAATCTTAAAGCAAGTCACCAATATTAAAGATACTTCTATCCTTGTAAGACAGTGGGTGTTTTGTGGTTTTTGCGGGGGGGGGGGGGGGAAAAAAATTTGGTTTTTTTTTAAATAGGTCTAGTATCACCACCACCAATTAATATTTGGTCTCTGCAACTTGGTGTTTTAAACAGTTTACTTTAGTAGATTATTTTATTCTAAGAAACTAAATGATAGATTATTTTATTTCAATAAATCATGAGACTTATGACTCCTTAAGTTATAAACTGATCACCAAATGACATGAGAGAGAAACTTCACTCATGATATCATCTTGCCTTAAAAAGTGCAAGATTTTTGGAGCAGATATTTTTGTAGTTTTCTGAAATAACCACTGTTACACAATGCCAGAAACTTGGGTGTCTGAATAGATGGTATTACTTGCTTCTTTTTTTCAGCACATCTTTTGTTACTAGGATATTTTAGTCAATTAGCAATCTTGTTCACTCTCTCCATCTGCCAAGATACCAAGTTATATTTTGGGGAGAGAATTCTTAGAATACTTGAACTGGTTTTACTTTTTTTTTTTTAACCCCTCTTTTCCCTCAAGCAGCACTAACCTAAATTAAATCAGCATTTGAGGTTTTCTATTACAAAGTATTCTCTCTGAACAATGGGAACCTTAGACTTACCTAGCCACGCAGGTATTGTTTTGAAACCAAAAAGCTTTCAGGGAGATGATGTGATCAAATTGATGGTTTTCTGAGTAACATGGGTTGACTTTCTGTTTATGGAACATGCTGTGAAACTTCCTGCTTTCCTTGCTTTGCAGATCTTGAAAGCCTAGGAACTGTACAAGATCCATCCAAGCAAAAGGTACCAGCTCCAGTGGGAAGTTCCCAGGATGTTGCAGCACCTGAACCTCAGACCCAAGAAGCTTCAGGTAGGACTTTTGGATTTCTGTTGCAAAACATGAAAGTAGCAGGGCCGGAAGCACTTTAAGGTCTTCCCTATCCCACTGAACTGCAACAGGATTGAGTAAACCTAGCTAATATTCCTGAATATTGTTTGCTGCTGATCCCATCTGTACTTTTTTTCTGGATCAGTAATGGAAGTAGAAGTTAATAAACTTTCTTTAGTAGAATTGTATTCATAGTAAGACCTTGCAATGATGGTTTTGTCTCTGCAGAAGGTAAGGAAGGGGAGGAAAAAGGCAGCTTGTAAGTTTTGAAATCTGAATCATGTGGCGTTTCGTCTTTCTTATTTCAAGCTTCCCTGCAGCAGCCCAAAACAGTGCTGGAAGCGTTGCAGCAGAGGCTTGAGAAGTACAAGTCGGCAGCAGCACAGGCTAAAGCGAGTGGGGATGATCGGAAAGGCAGGATGCACGAGAGGATAGCCAAGGTAAAATGAAAGTATAGCAAGCTGCTTGCATCCAGCAAAGGCATTTGAATTAGTTCTCTTGCTGAAGACTTTTTCAAGGCTGAAATAACTTGTGTATTGTCCTATTTGAAAAGAGCTCCAGTAGGGAAGCTGTGAAGCATTCAGAGGAAGGAGAAATAGAGACAATACATATGTTATAGCAAAATGCTGTGTATTCTGCAATATTTATGCTGGTTAAATACAGGTGATTGCTAATTTATAGTCAACTTCGTTTTATGTCTCACTGAGTGCCTTTGATTACAGCAATACCAGGATGCCATAAGAGCCCATAAAGCAGGGAGAAAAGTGAATTTTTCTGACCTACCTGTTCCTCCTGGTAAGTGTGAATATAAAATGTCCTAATACCAACTTTTGTATATCTGCTGGGCTCTTGAAGAAGGTGTGCAGATATTGTCTCCTCATCCTCTGGAACAACTCCTCCTTTTTCTCAGTGAGTAGGTTGGCCTTGCTGTTTGATGTTATTGTGAAACTGCTTATTAATATGCTCCCAAACTTTCACATTGGTGAATGTTCCTGACTACTGACTGCCTGTTTGACAGCATCGGAACTTGAAACTGGCCCTATTTGAAAAGTTAAACAACTTAACCATGGGCAGGTATTGAAAATGTCACCTGTCCTCTGTGCTGGCCCTCCTAGAGGAAAGAGTAAACTGGAGTTTACTGGAAGTTTTTTGAAACTGAAAAAATTTACCTGATGTTTTCCATTCTATTGATTCCCAGCAGGAGCCTCAGAACTCTATATTTAATTAATCACCTTCTTGCAAGACCTCACAAGTCAAATCAGTATTGCAGCTCTCATGACTAGTAAAAGTAGTCTACTGAGACAAAGCAAATTGTGCCCATGGTCACACTGAGACAGTGACAGAGGCAGAAACCGAACCTGCTTCTTGAGACGCACTGTGTCCTTTTTCTGTTCTTCAGAATGTACAGTGCTGTGTTTGTAAAAGTTTGGGCAAGGTCACCTATGAACGCTCCACCTCTGATTTGCGTGACACTGTTTCTCCCCTAGGAAGCATCATTCCTTTTATCTTGTGCCTGATGTGTTCATCTGAAAAGATACACTTAGCTCTGCAAAATGGTGCCTAGATTTTTTTAAGTTAGAAAAGGGACACGGACCTTGTGGTGCTTTTGTCACTGTCAAATGTGGCAATGGCAAGCACTGTAGTAGTAGTAGTAGTAGTAGTAAAGTAGGCAGTGCCAGCTGTGTCAGGTCATGTACTGCTTTGAAGGGTCCCTGCTTTGAAGCTGTCCCTGAAAAGCAGTTTAGCATCCCTTGTTCTAGAATGTGATTCATTTCTTGGTAAATATCAGTTGCTGTAAGAGTGAGGTCCTCCACATTTACATCTCTGAAAATATACATAACTCAGTTTCCTTAGGTGTTAGCTGCATGTTTTTCAGCCATCATTTAGAGGCCATATGATTTACATTGAAGACAACCGTTAGGTAGTCGCTGGAACCAGCAATGAGATTATAGTGGACTGGCAGTGCATTTTGTTGCATCTGGATGATGATAAGTACCAGCCTTGACCTCCTTGGAGACAGAAATGCTGCTGAGTAATGGATCAAATGTCGTGTGGGGGCAGCAGCATAGGGTTCTGTGTTCTGCCTGTCTGTGTACCTCAAACTTGTTCTGTCCCCATAGCAGCCATCTTTAGGTTAGAAGCAGTTTAGTCGTTATTTCTTGGCACTTCTAATGAGACTGGCAGGAAGAATACTTGCTACATATTAATGAGATAAATCTTATTAACAGACATTTTATAGTAGTGGCTCTGGGTCTCTGTTGTTAGAAGCTGACATTGAACTGGTAGTGTGGAAGTGAGAGTTTCTTCCATCATCAAGCCTTCCTCCCGTCCTTAAAAGGGTAATAAAATAATGAAAAGGATCGTTCTTCATATATTTCACATTTAACTACTGTGATTCGGCCTTACTTTGCAACCTCTGCATTGCAGTAGATTTTCAGCAGAGGCTTAGTGTGTTATCCAGATGTCAGCAATGTATTGTTTATTACTCTATGGGGTAGCACCGATTTTTCTGCTGGACTGTGTACCAACTAAGGTGAGGCAGCAGTGAGAGGGCAAAAAAGAGCCAGCAACTTTTTGTGCAATCCATTTCCCTTTTGTGCAAAGGAGAGAGACTAAATTCTTTGCTGGTTCTGGAGGCATCTCTGTTACCAAAGTCTTGAGGTTGTGAGGTTCCTTGGCTGGCTGCCAGTTGGTCAGCTTAGAAAACTATGCTCAGTTATTACATTATTTTAGCATCATCCCTTTAAGCCTGTATATCTGTGATAGATCTGATCTTAAGCCCACCACTCAGACTTTACCAAGCAAGGCTTTGTGGCCTCACCCTCAATCTAGTTATGCTGAATTCTGAAAGATCTTAGATAATAGATACTTGGATAGAAATAGCTTTACAGAAAAGAAGAAACATGGAAGACAGAACATAGGTCTTATGCAACTCTTTACTTCTGTATTCCTTTCCTCCTCAGGATTTCCCCCTCTTCCTGGTGTTGCAGCAACGGATGGTGACAGCACAATAGCTGCTGTTCTGGAAAGTGCCAGCAAGCTGGCAAACATGGAGGAGAATGATGAAGAGGAGGAGGTTAGTATTTCTTAGTAGGATGTGTAAAAGTTAAAATGCTGTCTCTTGTGGTGTGCGGAGATGAGGCCATTGGATTTCTAGTCAAGCAAGGGTACACTGAGTTGAAATACGTTTCCCAGAAGTCTGAAGAGTACAGGATCTGAGTAGTAATTTCAGTTTGCATTATATTGTAGAGGGGGAGAGAGAGAGATGAGATGTTATTACAGTCAGTACCTACAGAGCCTATGAGTCCAGAGTTTGGCTCTTTCATAGCTGTCTTGTATGTGGGTTTTATTTTCAGAGCAAACACTTCAGACCCTGGCCACTCCTTTACATTGTTCTAGAGTACTTAAATATTTACTTTCATCCTGCATCCCAGTAGCTCCTATTGTGCTTTCCCAGGATGTTCAACACTTACTGCTTTTTGTCAGGCAGCACCAGCCTTTAGACTTTGGTTTGATTTCTTTATCTCTCTGGATTTGGTTGCTGATTGTTTGTGCTTTCAACTGGAGAGCTTTTAATGGAGAGAATTCCTGGATGATGTTTTTTCTGCATGCATCTGCTTTTTTTTGAAGTCACTGTCTTGCTGAACATTCCTTTTGTCCCTTCTATAGTGGAGGTTTGACGCTTGCATAGGTCAACTACCTGCTGGTGTGGCATGGCTCATAAACCTCCAGAAGTTAAAATTTGCTGTCTGGAATGTTATGCTCCCCTCAAAAGTGATACCAGAAGGCTGATATAATAATAACCGTGGTTGTTGATGCTTGAGGTGCTGTCCTCAACTCTGGAATAGATTTTATGCATTTAATATGAAATTCTTTATGTTACGCTAGAATGAACCTCTGACACAGGCCCCAGTTGCCAAGAAGCCTGCTCAGCTGCCTGGAAAGCCAACTCAAGTTGTTAAGCCAATTACAGTGCCATCTGCTGTAGCTGAGGAGAGCTCTCCTGAGCATGTGAAACGGGCTACATCACCCTCCACCCTGGACAAGGCAGAGTCAATGGATCATCTCCCTCCAGCTGGTAAGGTGAAGGGATCATCATTCCCAGCGATCCATGTGCAAGTTGTTTGCACTACTTCAGTTTAATACCTTGGTAAAGACTTCTTTTCATTATATTTTAGATATAAGCCTATGAATGTGTGGCATAGATTTCTTCTGCCAGGAGCCTCAATATATGTGTCTGCTGGAGGGCAGATCCAGACCAGCCATGCAGCTTTATTTCACAGAGGCAGCATGTGTAATTATAAGGGTGATTGGGTTTTTAATTAATTTTGATGTAACAAGTGTATTGATTCATAATGTTTAACTCTGCTCACAGCTGAACTCTACACATACTCTCATTAAAGTGGACGGCTTGCCAGTGTGAATTATTCATTGATCTAATGCAGCTTCCTACATCAAACAGTGTTTTCTGCCTAGTGCTTCATCCAAGGATCTCAAACTGGCGTATAAGCTATCTTGTAGTTCATGAATCTCTAGTCCTCCTGTTGCTAAGGTCACTAAACAGTTGTCTGTACAAGATTAATTGTACAGATAGTAAGGGACAGCCATCACCTCACGGTGTGATTTGGGCACACACCAGCCGTGTTCAGGCTCTCACTGAATCTGTTGTCATGCCTTGACTGTAATCCCATCCTTCTTCCATTCTGCCCTGGGTAGTTCCCTCAAGACAAAGCAGAACTGCCTAGTTGGCTGATGCAAGTTCTTTTGCAGAGTGCAAAGGCATTTCACAGGGCCACTGTGATTAGCTCATAACTCTTCTGTCTAGAAGATTCCAGGACTTGTTTTATAAAGACCACTAAAATATAGTAGTTGTCCATTTTGGCTTTGAAAATCTCTGAATCCTCAGGAGTTTTGTTTTTTGCAATTTTAGCTGACATATTAATCTCTTGAGTGAATTGCCCTAGACTTATGCTGTGAAGGAATTGATAATACCTGGTCTCTGGTGTTACAGTAATCTCTCCTGGGTATTTCAGGTATTTTAAAATAAGACCAGTAGGTGCAACAAGAACCTGGACAGATTCATACTGACATGATTTTCACACCAAAATCTCAGTACTTCACTATTGTAAAGCTATATTTCAGTAGCCAAAGTGCATTCTGTGATCCAAATGTTACCTCCTTCCCCTCAGAATTACGAAATGCAGCTTACAGGTGCCTGTAGCTGATAAATCAACTCTAAAAAAACTGTCTTTTTCTTGTCAGAGAGCGCAAGGCATAGGGAGGTGTGGGAGTGGAGTGGATCAGTTGCACTTAAGGCCTATACCAGGAAAGTCAAGGAGCCAAGATCAGTTGGGTTAATGGCTTTGCTCAGTCCATTCTCCACAGGCTTTCTTTGAAAATACCTGTGCTCTGTGTCTCAGCCTCACGGAGCACACTGGGTTTTGTCTCAGAGGAATCTGGGCTAGCTACATTGTCTAATTAGTTTGGTTTTGGCTGATTGGGCAAATTGCTCACAGCAGCAGGACAGCAGGCCCTTTTGCAAGGATGGGAATAAGCTGACCATCATCTGACAGCAGTGAACATAGTGTGAGAGTCCTTGGTATATTTATTTGCTAAGACAGGCACCTCTTGCAAGTGGTGTTTAGCTCATGTAATCACGAATAGAGTGCAGTGGTGAATACAATACGAGTATCTTTGGAAATGGCTGTAATCAGCTCATGCTGTACCATTTCCTAAGTGAGGTATAAGAAGAGGCAGGATGCACTGACATGGTACCATGTAAAGCAATCTTTTCTGACTTGTGTGGTTGTCCTTACTGTTTTGGGAAGGAAAGAGGAGACCCAAGAATTAATAAGAAGCTAAGATGGCAAGGAATTACAAATTAGCAGAGGTGATATTTCTGAATGTGCCTGCACATTGGTTCATCTGGGTCTTTTTCTGACAGATCAGGGTAGAGGGAAGAAATGAGTACAGAAGATGCTCAAAATATTCACTGTCTTTTAGAAGTTAATATGTCAAGCTGAAAGTTTGAATTCAGCTTCTTTGGACCAATCAGCTGTACTGGTCTGTCTCCTGCTTGCAAATAAGGGGCTGTAATTACTATTGTGACACTTGTGAAGTGCTATGAGGTTTTTTTGATGAAGGATGACATGATAGAAGGAAGCTTGTTTCTTATTCTGATACTCCAAATTGAAACTGTCCAAGAAACAATTAAGTGCAGTAAGGAAATGTCCTTATTTGGTGTCTGTACTTTTACTGACCTTTTTCTGGCTATAAACTGAACATGATAAACCTGTTTGAGGGGCATGGCAGTGTCAGATGAGTGAGTGTTTTTATACAACTGTTTTTCAGCTAGGGAGCAGCTGGAATTTCTGGAGAACAGAAAGAAGCAATACATGAAGGCAGCCGTCAAAGCAAAGAAGGAAAATAACCTTGAACAGGCTAAGATGTATCTCAGAACAGCTAAGAGCTTTGACCTAAAGATTGAGCAAGCAAAATGTGGCAAACCTGTTGATATTTCCAAGGTTAGTAGGACTGTTAGTATTCTGCTTTGCTTCATATTCTTGGACATCTAAGTGCTTACTTCAAACAGTGAATGATGTAACAAGTATTTCTTGACACGAGTTAGTTTGCTCAAGTGACAAATCTGGATACTGAGCCCTGAAATTCCCCCGTATTTTTTGTTTTAGTTTTTGTTTCGTTTTATTTCCTCTGCTGCTCCTTGAATGTGCCAGATTTTGAGAAAATTTAGTCTCCATGACCCATCTGCTCCTTGATTTACAGTGGCACACCTAAATCCTGCAGCTTGGAAGTGTTCACTGGGCTTAGGGTGTTGAGTACATCTTAGCTGTGTCCTAACTCCATTTTGGGATGAGGATCAGGTGCATGTGATACAGTGCTTTCTCTTGATATTTGGGTAGATGGGGAAGCCAAATTGCACTCTAATAGCTCTCCTGACCTGAATAATCAGGGAACTAGGCCTGTAAGACATTTTGCAGGGTTTTATGACTTAAGCAGTTGTCAGGCAATGGTGTAAGTAGTGGTTGGGTTGGAATTGCCTTGAGAAGAAAAACAACCTGTCTCCCTTCACTGACTTTTCCATACATTCTGACTGCTTTTTGTCTACTTTGTTTTTGACTATAAGGGCTCTGAAATGTGGTGTTCTTGTGTTGCAGCTGCCATCACCCCCTACAGATGATGAGGGTGATTTTATCTTCATACACCATGAAGATGTCAGACTGTCTCAGAAAGCAGATGAAGTATATGCACAGCTCATAAAACTGCTGAAGGACCAACATGAGGTGACTGATAGTTTTTAGAAATGTTTTGGGTTTTTTTTACATTTCTCTAGGTTTTCTTAATATTATAATCCCATCATTGTTTCTGTGGGGTCTTTTTGTTTTTCTTTTAAAATACTTTTGATTTTTGTGTGTCATAAAGTAGAAAATTTTCGGAGTTAGATTCTCTACTAGTTGAAGTCAGAGGGTGTGCTTGGAGGCTTGGGACTATCAAATTATCACTATTAAATATGAGCACTCAAGTTTGAAAATAGTACCTGAATGATTAAGAGTAGCCCTTGGGTGGACCTCATATCTAGAAATTAAGTGATTAAAAAGTAATAGGGCCGAACAGCTCAAACAAATGCTGTGCTCAACTTCAGGTTTGAAGGACTGGGGGGGTGGATGTTGTTGGGTGACTTGGGAAAACTCTTGGCTTTTCTTAAATTAGGTTGTCATCAACCTCAAAACTCTCTGCCAGTCATGAATCTGTGTGTAAGGATCACTGAGTGCATCTGTATTTGTTTGGTTTTGTTTCTGCTGACAGAGGTGTTTGCAGTATTCCAAGCAATTCATGCATCTGGGAAATGTAGCAGAAACGACTCGGTAAGACCCACTGCCCGCTGTTAATCATCCCACAATGTGGTCATTTCAGGCCTGAGTCTCCCTGATCCCGCTAAAGATGATGGGGGTTCAGGTTGGTAAGCTTCTCGTTATGTGAAAGGGTCAGTAACTGTGAGGCCTGCATCTCCAAGTTCCTCTCAGACCTCTGGTCTGAGGCTTGCTCTGTGGCCTGTATCTGGCAGAATGCTCTGTTTGATGTTTCAGCGTGTGTAGCTTTTCTGTTGTCTGTTTGCCTTTTCTACAGGTTTGAGAAACTGGCACAAGGTTGTAAAAAGGACATGGACATCCTACAGCTTGCACGAGCGCAAGGAATGGATCCTCCAAGCCATCACTTTGAGGAAAGAACCTTTAAAATGATAAGGTGTGGAAAAACAAAGGGATTACTCGGGCAGGCTGGAATGAGTTTTCTGGTTTCTAGCTCTTGTTTAGGGAATTGTGGGCTTCAGCAAACTCTGGTGGCACCTAGGGTTAGGCTCAGCATTCCTGAAAGGACACTCAACAACTTAAATACAAAGAAGTTGTTCTCTGACTTCTCTTCTGGGTTCTTTTGTTTTCAAAATATCTCCAGCTTCATCTCTTACATTCTGGTACTGCAGCCAGTCTTCCTTCCTCTGTATTTCTCCCTCAGTCTTGTTGCCTTTGGGCTTTGTTTGTGGCACTTTTTGCTGTACCTCAGAGATGTTTTTATCTTGGTTTGTGCTCTTTCCTTGCTCTTTTGTAATTTATGAAGATGATCTATGTAGGAGTGCACTGTTGAAAAAGGTCTGACATACCAGTGGCATCCCGGTCTGGCAGTGGATCCAGGTCGTGGTGGGCTACTGGGATGAATATGCTTTTTTTGTCTTTATTTTTTTCACAGGATATTTTCTGAGCTCAACAGCACAGAAATGCACCTTCTTATTGTCAGGGGGATAAACCTACCAGCTCCGCCAGGTATGTATTCGACAGGGCATGTGGGCTTTTTCTTCTGAGTAGGTAAGGAAGGTAGTGGGGAATGAGGTTTTCCTACGTTGAAGACCACTTCAAGAGTCAAGACCTTTGTAGCCAGCACTCATTAAAACAAAATAACCAGGTTACAGGCTCAAGCCCCCAAAAAAGCTTTAAACAGTATTTAAAAAAACCACACAAAAAACCCCAGAAGAATAAAGATAATCTGGGTTCCATCTGGACAGAGGGAAGAACTTTAAGTTGTCCTGGGTTCGCTCATAACTGGGTCATAGTTTAAGTTTCATGTTTATCTCCTATTTTGTTATGAGTGCCTGCCTTAACTCTGCACTGCCTTAATGTGTATTGGCCCTTCAGTAGACAGGAGTCGTTCCTGCCATTACTGCTTTTAGTCCCTTGCCTCTGGGAGCCTGTAAACCATCTGTGCTAGACTGTCTCAGGACTAACAGCAGCATTAAGAAAAGTAGATGTTTTCCTTTGGATGCCAGCTTTCTACGGATTTTGGGTTGATGGATTTTGGGTTTTTCAGCTGTCAAGAGACAGGTCACAAGTCCTACAAAAATCAGTTAGGTGCTCTCGAAAATCCTGCTCAACATTACAGATGTAACAAAAATATCTGTATTGGCTGTTTGGATTGGCTGGTTGTTGTCTCATTCAGGTGTATCGCCAAGAGATTTGGATGCATTTGTGAAGTTTGAATTTCAGTACCCGAGTGCGGTGAGTATGTGTCCTGGCTTTTCTGTTCCTCAGCGTGTGTGACCCTTGCCACTGTATTAGCTTGTGAGGGCTTCAAGGAGGAAATGCAGGTTTTCTTCTAGAAAGGGAAGGCACTTCTAGGCATATTGCCTGAATTTATTTTTAAAACAGAAACTTTTTCTGAGAAACAGACCTGCTGAATCTGTTTCCTGCAGATTTGAGCTTTGCTGCATCTTTCTCTTGATGTTCTCCACACCTTACACTTGGCGGTGTGGTGCCTGCTTCAGGCTTGCATGTTCCCTGGCTGGCTGACCACCAGCTTACTGCTAAACAGCATTCACGGTGCTAAGCCATGCCCGCCTTTCCCGCCTGAAGACACTAATCAGACTGTTTCCAGTGTTTGCAAAATTTGTAGACGTTTCTTTCTTTTAGGGGTGCAAATGCACTGCTAACTTCAACCAAACACAAGGGCATGCAAAGTTGTGACTAGGGGAGAGGGGTCACCTTAGATGTGATCTCCCTCTAAGCCCCATTCCTTTAAGAAAACAAGCTTTTAAAGGCATTGCTTTTGGACATCTCTTATAATTATATAAATGGATTGAAAAGGTTAATCTTTATCATCAAATAAATGCATGTAACTCCTGGTGATTTAATTAGCAAATATATATGTGCATATCTGGAGAAAGGACTTAGGCCAAACAAATTTCTTCACCTTACTAATTAATACTTATGTGTATGTGCATGTGTATATGTGCATATATATGTGTATGTATATAAAAAATACATATACATATATATCTTGCTTCTTTCCTTGAAACTCTCCAGTGTCATCCTGTTCCCTGCCCCTTTAAAAGCAGTCTCTGGTCTGAAAAATACTGAAACCATTGAGCTAGAAGGGCTTCTAAGAGGGGCTGTCTAGTCTTACTATCAGTAGAAGTGCTGGGGCTTCTGCTGCTTTCTCTGTAGGACAAAACCAATCTTTGCTCTTACAGGATTAATACTTAGCCCTGTGAGAGTGCAGAGCCTAGATTTTTACCTCCTCATAAATTTTGCAGCAATTCCACTAAAATAAATCCAATTACCTGTGGGAAATTTTGGTGATGGTCAGAGCAGGTTTGTGCTTAGGTTTAACGTGAGGCCTTAATGGAGGAGCCCTCCACCATTAGGGTGGCTTAAAACAGCATTGGTCTGTATGAATAATTTTCTGGGCAATAAGTAAGAATCAGCGTAGTTGCTTTTAATCTTTTTTTGTTTGTTTGTTTTTAAAAAAGCCAGATCTTTACTGCTTAGCCAACAGTCAAATACACCACCTTTCTTCTTCATAGCCAAAATTGGTTTTGCAAGTAGCTGCAATAATTAGGTCACGTTGTCCTTGTTCAGTCCCCAGAGATTTAGTTTGTACTCCGCTTTAGGTTAAAAGTTAATTCATTTTGGTGGCAGATTGATTGTCAGGCAAAATAATAGTAGGGCAATTCCCTGAATGATTTGTGATGAATTCCTTGTGTAGCTTATTATTCTAACTAATGCAGAAGGAACAGAATTACTGTGTCGTGGAACGTGCGCAGTTTATCATGTAGTTTAACAGCCGCAGTCGGTAACTTCATGATGATTGGATTGAATTGAGTGTGATCACATAGCTTATCTGTGGCTCTTACATTTCATGTAATGTTTTGGGTTATTCTTTATCTAGTATTATACTTGTTACCGCAATGAAATCCAAATATTTTAGTCTTGAATGTACCATGACTCTTTTTATCATTCAGATAACTCCCTAAGCCTCATGTTTCTTGTATAGGTATAAAAAGAGCTGGTAATAAAAATGGTTACTATTCTGTATTTTGAAACAATATCTGATGGTTTTATGTAATATGTGTCTCTCTTAATAGGAGCAACCTCAAAAGAGTAAAACACCTGTAATTAACAATAACAATTCTCCAGGTTAGTACTTTTTCTGGGACAGAGGGAAAAACATTGCACCTTAGGAATCACTGGAGAGTGCAGGCTAATCTCATACTGTGAATCAGGCCAGAGGGCCTCCCAGGAGGGTGAAGTCCAGCTGCGTTGGCAATTTCTTCACCCTCATCCCAATATCAGTGATAGTTATTGTGTTACGACTTAGTGAAATCGAGTTACCAGTCATGCTCCAGCTGCTGCTGTCAACCCTGCTGGGAGATGGGCCAGATAAATAAGTCTGCTTTATTAAATAAGTTAAATTATTAATTTCAGTATCTCCATGGATCAGATCTTTTTCAGTCAGATTTTGTGTCCTGTGAGATTCTGTCATGATTTTTGCTAATCAGCTAACATTTCTAAACCTGACAAAGCATCATTGCAGAAATAGATTTTTTTTTTTTTTTTTTTTGTTAAGACAATGTGTCTTGAAACCTACTAAAATACTTTCTTTGTACCTTTTGAAAAATACTCTGTTGTACCTAGCCATTGAATACCGGTATTAGACTCAACATGCATTTTAGAATTAATCATCTTGCACTCTGAGTTTGGTTTATTGCTACATTATTTTTTCAATTCTTGCAGTAAGCAGCCATCTAGTATCAAAACAACTTTGAATTCAGTATCCAAATTACTTGTTGTGAATTTATCTCAAAAGATATAGACATATATAATATCTTTTGAGTTTATATATATTTTCTGTTAAGAGTAGAAGTCCTGAAGCTCTGATACCGAGAGCTGCATTCCAAGTCTTCCAATAACTTGATCTGCACTTGCTGAACAGCCACTTAGCATTAGTGTTTTGGGTTCCCAGGCTGGCAAGCAGAGGTGAGTGTTCCTGGGTAGCACAGCAGATCAGTCTTTGAACATTAGTTGTACAATGTTGTGAGACTTTCTGATGAAAAGGTATCCTGTGGCATAGTTCTTGTCATGCTCATTAATGAAACTGGTGTTAAAACAGTATTATTTACATTATCAAAACACTCCTTCCCAGTTGTTCCAACCTTCCTATGCTTTTTCCTTATTATTTTGTACCTTTTTCTTAGGCACAGACACTCTGTTTAATTGCTGAAAGATCTAGATTCTCCACAGTTTTGGCTCTCCAGTAACTTGCTGTCACCTCCTCATGATGACAGTTTGGTTTCTGTCCCTGTAAAGTGGGGATGACAGAGATGAACTGTTGCACAGGGACACTAACTTGTTAATGACTGAAATAAGCTCCTGAGAAGGAGGTTCATATGGATGTGAAGTGTCTTTCACAAATGGGCCAAACTGAGATAAACAGAGGTCTGAGTACGTGCATGTAATAGGGCACTGCACATAGTTTGACCTTCACAGCTTTCTTTCATTTTTCTATATCTTAACTGTAGAATATAACCAGTTGTTCAAGTTGAACATCAACCGAAATCACAGAGGTTTCCGACGAGCAATTCGGTCCAAAGGAATTAAATTTGAAGTATTTCATAAAGGGTAAGTCTACAGTTTGCTCCCCCCTCGTTGCTTCTCTAGTAGCAGTTGAAAAGAGTGTTGTAGCTGAAATCTATGAAGCACAATCTTTAAGCTAGCAATAAAGTGTTGTCTAGTTCTCATGTCTGAGAACTCCTTTCAACATGTGCCAAGCTCTCTATCTTTCCCGGTGGGGGTGAAAAAAAGGCAGAAGTTCAGTGAAGTTGGTTCATAACTGGCAGATATAAGAGGAATTGATGACACTGAGAAGGTAATGATTCAGCTTCAAATTGTTTTGATTCTTATCCAGTCTGGTTTTAGTCATCTGGACTAGAAGATTTAAATGTTATACGGGATAATTTTGTAGAATAGTGAAGTACAAGTGGCAGCAAAACATTAACAGCAGTAAAGCAGATGACAGATGATGGCAGAACTAGTGTTATGTTTTTCTATTTATCTTCATGCTGAGGATCTTACAATATTTACCGAACACTGCTAGCAAACTGTTAGACTATCTTGAGAGAGACGGACTCCCTTCATCTCAGAGATCAAGATGATGAGATGGATGTTAACAGTTGGTAAAGTTCAGGGAAATCGTCCTACATCTAGGCTCATTACTGATTTATTCAAAATCAGTGGCCTGTATTCACTAATCCCCGAGTTGGTTGTGACCCATGACTTGGATGGGATGTTAGATAACCTGGTTTTTGCCTCGGTGGCAGTTTGTGCTGTTTGTTTCTGTTGCTGGGACGTGCAGAAATGATCCATAGGTTCTCCGAGATGGTTTTCAAGTTGTAGATGTTTTAATTTTTGAGATAAAGTCCAGATCTTCCATTTGCACCTCCATTGAAGCAAAAGCTCATTTTCTTACTCTTTCAATCCTGACTGCTCCGCTGCTCTGTTGTTCAAGATTTCATCATTAGAGATCCTACCTCTCTTGCATAGAACTGTTAAGTGTTTACAGTTGTTTAAAACATTTTCTCCCTATCTTTTGCATACCATTGTCCATATGGGGCATATCCTGTTCTCTTACCAGCTGGAACTGTGTTTGTTTTTAAGGTCTGAGTTAGGCTCAGGCTTAAGTTCACCCATTAGGAAACACTCTCCAGTGATTAATGAGTTGTATGCCAGCTCCAGATTGTCATCTTTTGAAGCCTTTTCGAAGATTAGCAAAAAAATCTGTGCGGGTTGTCTCTTTTCTGCTTCTGACATATTTTTTTGTTCTTAGAACAGGAATCTAACAAGTTAAATATATGCTTGTTTCTGGATTGGGGTGGAGGGGTGGCAGTTCCCCATGGCAAATAGCAACAGGGAAGCAGAAAAAGAAGGAATTCCCACTGATCACCTTCCCTGGCCACCTTCTCAGGAGAAAGGAGAGGATTAAGTGATCCAGGCTCTTTTTCTAAAGACTGTCTACTCCCTGTCTGTCTTCAAGACTATAATAAATGAATAATACTTTCAGAAATGCTTGTAGATGTTGTAGTTTTGGGGTCTCTGATAGCTCTTTGACCATCTCCCAAGAATTATTTTGTCTCGGTGAGCAAAGGAGACTTGTTTCAGGTCATACGTATTAAACTTCAGTTTAAAAAACACTTTCAAGTAAAAACCCAGCAATGTATTTTTCCAACGGAAAACTTTCTCCATACACCTCTCCTAAAAGCTTCTGAAGATAAAAGGAGATTTCCCCAGAGCTGTTTCTGAAGCCATGGCCTAGAGCAAGTTCACATTCTTCACTGCAAACCCCTTAGAACTGATCAGGGATGAACCAGTCTTTATTGTTTCTTGAATTATGAAATGGAAAAATGCTTTTAAAAAAATTCAGCTAGAAGAATTGCTGATTCTCTTTTTAAGTTTATGAACAAAGTGTCCAACTCACTGCAGTACAATTATGTAATCCTTCATTTTAAGGTGCTTGTGAAGTAAAGGAAGTATTCTAGCATGTAAGCTAATAAATTCTGAACTTTTCTAAATGATTTTGTGAGTCTACTGTAGTCTCATTGATGGAAGGCTTTCTGTCCACAAAATTCATAGGCATAGTGTTTGGAGGCAGCGCTATCAGCCCTTGAGGTACCTTGTGACATTTTTCTTTACTACAGCAATTTGTGTTGAGATGCACAAACTGCCAAATAAGCAATCTGAACAACTGAGCTGGAGTCTTTCAAGTCCTTCAGCAACAGGTTTTTGGAAGAGATGTACTTCCTAAGAGTGACTTGCTGCATGTCCCAGTGCATTCAGAGTAGTAGTGGTCTTGCACTCTCTATCCCATGTAGAAGTGTCTGAGCTCCCTACTGTGAGCTCGCTATGGCCTGGGCTAATGGTACCAGACCATTGTCCTCCTGACCTAGAGAGACTTAGGTGCTGCATGAGCCAAAGTATTTCTGACGCTATTTCTGAACCTGCAAGCCAGAAAGTGAGGTTAAAGTCTGGATGACAGGTTTCTTACACTGTGCTTGATTATGAACTATTTGGAGACTATGTGAATGAAGCAATCGTTGAGGCAGTGGATGTGAAGAAACAACCTTACTCCTTTTCCAGTCGGAGACTTTAGACAATCAGGTTCACGGATGCTCACCTGGAAATTGTAGGCACTGATGGCAGGATCAGGTCTGTGTATGAATATACTGGTTACTGTTACTGGTGATTACATGATCTTGAGGCTCCATATAATAATCTTCAGAGTTTTCATTGCATATGTCAAGTCTTGCTTGATAATATCTTAATATCTCTTAATGATAATAGGAAGAAGGGTGGATGTTTTGGGATTGGGTTTTTTTTTGTTTCTTTGTTGGTTTGCTTGCTTGGTTTTTTTCCTAAATAGAATGGCATTAAAAAAGGAAGCTTCTGAATTCTGGGCAGATTTCCTGTCTAAAACACAACAGGCATGGCTGGTTGGCTTTCCTACCTGCAGAATCTCTAGATTTTAGTTGTTTATCAATCCTTTTGGAGACTGATTCAGGGAAATGCTTGGATGCAGGCAAAGAAATCCAGTGCTTTGAGCTGCACACTTCTGTGGAATTAGTGTGTTTTAGTCTTAGCTGTTGCCTTTTGGAGGAGTTTGTCTAGATAAGGATTGCATCACCTGTCTCTGTTAAGGTAAAGATGGATCACTTGCTGATAAAAGTCTTAAACAGAAGTGACTGTAGCAGAGAAAAGTTGATTGTTTTCATTGCAGGATAAAAATGCTCTGTGTTTAATTTCTAGTCTAAAATTAGTTAAAATTAATTTTAGTGTTCTAAAAAACCTTACTCATTCCACTAAGGAAGATTTCTTTGAAACAGGTCCTTCTTCAGAAGTGACAAGCAGGTGGGGACAGCACACTTGAAACTGGACAAGCTGGAATCGGAATGTGAAGTTAGAGAGATCATCGAGGTATGTTTTCTGGATGAGGTGTGTTCTTCTAGTAAGTAGTACTTGAATATTCACATTGCATAAATGTGTGTGTATATAGTTGACAGTTTTGTACTGGATGAGTTTGATGAACAATGGGCTGTTCCCTGTTTTGTAATCTCTTGAGGCTTGTCTTAGCTGTGACAGTTCTGGTACTGGGAACTCCTTGGGGACTCTTCTGCAGATTTTCTGTATCAAGATAGTTTTCTTTGTCAGGACCAGAAATTCAGGCGGTTCCCAAAAATAATTGTGTTGGTAGCTAACAGATCAAAGGGTTAAGTGAAGACTGCCAGAGTGGATAGAGAGCTGCTGTAAGATCCAGTAGGAGGTCACTAAGTGGAGCCTTAAAAAAAAAAAAAAAAAAGCCTTGGGGTGCATCACAGACATGTTCAGGAGACTGCTGGCCATAGGGTCCTCCGAGCTGCCCGTGGATGCCACTTGTACTTCGGCGGCTTGGTGCACGGCAGGCAGAGGTAGCACAGCCACTGGTGCAGCTGCCCCGCACAGGTTGCATGGGGACCTGCTCTGCTGAATTATCAATCCGGGGAAGCACGCGGCTGCGACACCTCCCGGCATTGCAGTCACCTGCAGGTGATCTCTGTCATCTTTTAGTCGTGGTGCAATATAGTCAGTGGTTGCCTGAGGCACCCTAATTTGACATTATCATTCATACGTGCGCTAACTGCTCTTCTTTTTGTGGTTCTTTCAGATTTTTGATGGCAGAAAGCCCACTGGAGGGAAACTGGAGGTAAAAGTGAGACTCAGGGAGCCCCTCAGTGGTCAAGATCTTCAAACAGTTACAGAAAACTGGCTGGTCCTTGAACATTAGCTCTATCTGAGGTACGAATGCTGCGTCTAAAGATGGTCTGGCCAGAACTCGACAGGGCTGCAGATAAACTCTGCTTGAATAATGTCTTTTGTTGACATTGACCCAATTACATAGCTCTGGCTTTGATACCGTTCATCTTTATATTTGTAGTGGTGAGTTGACATAACTTCAGAAATGAGGTTACAGAATGTCTGATTAGTTTGTGTATCAAAGATGCTATTTCACAATCACTTGAAATACAGGGAATGCTTCTAGCATCACCTTTATTTAGAATAACATTTAGAAAATAAGATTTATGAGTCCTTTCTAGGAGGGGGAGAGCTTTCTGTCCATCCTTATCGTTAGCAAAAAAAGTTTAGTTAGCAAGGACCCTTCTTCCCCTGCCAGAAGCTAGAGAAGGGCATTTGTTTGTCCCATGAAAGTCTGCTTGACTTCATGTGAAAGGGAAACTGTTGGAGATAGGCTTTCTTCGGGATACTTGAGACTTCTCAGCAGGGAGAGACTGCACAGTTGAATGCAGGCTACCTGAAGAAGCGTGCCTGGTGCCCACTGTGCTCACAGCAAGTACAGAAGAGGAGCTGTGTGCTGCCAAAGCGGCTGTATGTTAGGATGAAAAAGAGGTGGGCTGCTGCTTCTTGCCAGCCTCTACAGAAACTGCTTGGGTTTGGAGCTTGTCTTCCTTTCTCATACTCTGCCTTTCAGGTTTCACAAATCCTCCCTTCTTAAAAAAAACAAAAGCAAGTAAATACCAAAACTTCTGGTGTCTTTTTTTTTAAAGTGATTTTCTACATAAAGTTCCTGAAAGATAAGTACCAGAAGTCTGTCTGCCTGTGGAATCTCTAATTCAGCCTACTTTTATGTATGTGTCTGATGTTTGAAAGAAATTCAGATTAGTTGGGCACAATCCCCGATAACCTGAAACTTAGCTGTGGGAGAAGTGAGGACCTAATGTTCATAAAACCACGGAGTGGACGCCGACTCGCTAGGGGCAGTCGGTGCGCGTGCAAATTGCAGCCACAGGGTGTTATTGGCGGGGGGGTGACCGTGCTCATCCCCTCTGAGCAGGCATTTCTCGTGCTGTGGTGGCATGTCGAGTCCTCCTCTTGGACCGTGACCTTGCTGTACGAGCATGGAACAAACCTTACCTTTTCTCATGGAAAACGGATGATGTATAAATACAAAGTTTCTAACAAGTAATCCCTCTTCCGTTGCCTGAGCTCCTGAAGTCTCTGTGCTCCCTCTTCCTTAACGTATTGTTTTGCTTTGCCATTTATAAATGGCAGTTAAGAGACTATTCATCAGCTTCACAGCAACGTCACCTGTTTGCCACACCTTTCCTTCCAAATTGTGTTAGATTTTAGATTGAGAGGTCTTGTTTCAATACCTGGGCCTGAATTTGTAGCACCAAAGGGACTTTGTCTAGCGATTTCTTCCTCACAGCCAAGGAGGTCAGCAAGCTGCCCGTGAGCTTCGCAGTTAGGCTGTGAGGGACACGTTTGATGGCCGTATCTGAAGTAGCAACTTGGCCTTGTGCCGTGACTGGACATCTAAGCACTTTCAATCACTACAGCTTAATAATTTTGCCCCACTGATTTCTCTAGTTGATCATCCAGAAAATTCATGTCAGCATTTTACATATAATGTGACCTTGAATTATGAACCTCTGTTAAGTACTGCATCAAGTAATTTTGTTGGGTTTTTGTTTGGTTTTTTTTCCTCCCCCCCCAGATCCGTTGGAATGTTAAAAGATGTGGGATGAACGTACGTAGAAAGACGCTGCTAGCTGCAAGCACCAAAGATGTTGAATGCACTACTGAACCTAATGTCTATTTTGATAACAGCCATAATGCTTATTCATAACTTCAAGGCAAATGTAAGGCTCTGGGAATGTGCTGCTGCAGGGGATTGTTACTAGTCTACACAAAATAGACAGAATTGCCTTAATGTGGGACTACTGATGTAGCACCAGGATGAATGTTACATTAACTATGCATAGTGGTGTGTGAAGAGTTTAGCCCCTTAAAAATGCCCTGAGGCAGTGCAAAAACTTCTCAGTCAAGTCACAGGTAAGACCTTTACTAGAATTAATTTTTTCAAGTGTACAAGCAGCCAGCATGGTACGGTGAACAGCCTGCTACCGCTTTTTCTGTTCTCTTTATCAAGGCCTGCTTGGGTGTTTGGGGTTTTTTTTTTGTTTCCTAAAATAGAGGAGAGAGAGCTCGGGCAGCAATCTAGCAGCGGTGCGTCCCTCCTCTGTGCATGCCACTGCAGCATGACGTTCAATCGGATGTTGCCTTTCAGAAGAAAAGAATGCAAGACTTCTTAGCAGCAGGTGTTAACAGATCTGCGTTTTTGTTCTGGCTACCACTTGTCTGCCATGCTTGCTGTGCTGCTTGTTCAGTGCAGCCCGGGTACCGTGCCTTCATCCTTTTTCTTTGGTTTTTGTTTTTGGGGTTTTTTTTAAATATAAAAATGGAGGGGGAAAAAAAAGTACGCTAGACTCTGCTGTTTCCCAAATGTTCCTTGTATTTTTACAAAAAATAGGCTTTTACAGTTCTTCCAGGTGATGGGGAAAATAGCCACTCTTTGACATGTAGAAAACTGGATTATGACTATTTTCAGGAATGCTTTTGATCAGCAGCATACAAAAAAATGGTACCAAATATGTTTGTGTTTTTAAATCTCTGTGAGCTAACGGAAAGGCCTGATCTCAAAGGAGAGGCTGTGCCTGCACGGGGGAGTCGGAGCGCTCCCGCACCAGCTGTTCAGGTAGGGCAAGTTTGTAGACAGAAAAAGAGTCCAGACAAGTAAGGCAGCACCGCCTCTGTCTTCCTGAGCAGATGAAGACAATACAGTGTTCAGTTTTTAATTTCAATAAATTTAATATACAAAACTACATGTTGAAAATAAAAATATAATATGCAGTTTTTTGCAGTGTTAACTAACTGAATTGTAAAAGTACAATTTTCTTCTAAAACAAGTACTCGTTTCTTAACAACATGGTAATTAAGGTCATTTAAAAGGCTATGGTTGAAGCAAACATGTCAGTCACCAGTTGATAGTGTTTTGCACAAACATAATCCAAACCTAAAAGACTTCTGGGGCAAAGGAAGAGAAGATAAAGATTTTTCACCTCTTTTACTGCATTATTAAGCATAACAATGCAACTGAAGTAACTGGAAAGCCGCTGCTGTGGCAAAGCTGGAGTGCAGGCTCTAGAAGGAAGATTATTACTTAGTTTCTGGACCGAT